ATATATATAAAATTTTATATGAATTGAAATATTGAATTGAAATATTGAATTGAAATATTGAATTTTATATGAATTGAAATATTGAAATTTTATATGAATTGAAATATTGAATCACATTATTGAACACTAGTATTAGCTGCTCCACTAATTCAGTTTATGTGCTAAAGATGTAACAGAGTGAATTTTGTATTCTTTATTGCAGGATTAGAAGATTTTGATCAAGAAATAATGGCTCGGGTTCTAGCCGAATCACAGAAAACTTATTTAGATGAATTAAAGCACAAGTCTAAAAAACGCAACGGTTCGCCGGGACCATCAACTTCTTCGTAGTGTAAGATTTTACCTTGTCGGATACCACGTACCATTTCTAACATTTTTCTTAATAATAGCTTTGTTTAATGTTACTTCGTTATGGCAATTTGCAATTTGCAATATAATTATACCACTATTTAATTTTCTTGCGTTGAGCATTAAACAAGGTTTATTAATTTCCATGTCCGTTATGTAACCTACATTTAATATAGACTTGATATTTTAAAAGTTTCACTTACTCTTTGTTCTGTTGTGGGGATAGATTTGTGTATTTTTTTTAATTATGGTTTTCATGCTTGCTTTAAAGTGATAAATTTAATTCTTCATCGTTAGACCTTCATATGATGTGAGTAAAAATTATAATATATTTCAAGATGATTTTTGTGTAGCCAACAAATTATCCTGATATTTGTATAGCAGTTTATTTGTCAGATGAATATATATGATATGGAGAGGAATGTTGGAGGGATACACCATAACGAAACCTCATATTACATTTTTATGTAGTTCAGTTGTAGCTTAGCAGCTACTCTTATTAGTTTTAAATATTTATAGTGTACTACTTGTGATATAAATTTATTGAATTTAAAATTTTAATTAAGTCGTGTATTATATCGAATTAGTTACATGTAATTATTTTGTAGTATTAATTAATTCAATTCATTTTATGCTTTATTGTAATTTGTTATATATTGTAAAATATAGTTGTTTAATATATAACCTATTTTATTTGTGCAAAAATATCTACTAATTGTAAGTTAAAGAATATCCTGAATTTTTGTTTAACATCCTCATTTGCGAGTGTGACGATAATTCACAAGATTTTTTTCTTGTTGTTTAATATCTTTCTATGTGAAAAATATTTGTCTTAAAGAAATATCATGTTTGGGCATTGTCTTTAAGAATATTATGTCTAGATTTACACAAAGATTTATGTATTAATTAACTGTAACTACACATAAACAATATTTTATTATTACCTAAATCTTTGCGTAATCCTAACGCGTAACATCTAAAAATAAAAAAGATTGATGTAAGAAGGGCAGTACTGAGATAAAAATTGTGACAGATGGTTACATAATTTTCTGTTTGCAAAGGGCGGGGTAGGCGGCTTGTGATTTATTGATCGTATCTGTCGTTTCAAATAGTCAACTTTCAATGTTTAACATAAAGATTCGAATAACTGTAAAACTGCTGGAAACAGTATCGAACTGTGTGGTATCAAATGTCTCAAAATTTTATGCTAAAACAAAAAATTTTAAAAAAAGTAGGGGTTGCCTTTGAAAGGATTGGAGGCCGCCACTTTGGCCAATATGGCTGATGTGCCTACATCGAAAGAAAACTAACTAAATTTACTAATTGACGTGTTTTTGCATAATTGCATTATTTTTTTTTTAATTTCTATCGATTAGATTAAATGTCCGAAGCGGATCAGAAAACGATAACTTGACGGCACAACTGTGGTTATCTAAAATTGACTAGCTTAGATTGTTAAGCCAGTGGAATGAAATAACAACGATACATGGCTAAAAACTGATAGGTATAATACTATGTCTCCAGAACTATAATCTGACGTGGGAGGAATGGAAAAAATTAGTAAAAAGGAGTCTTCCCCGCCCACAGTGATTATGACATACTTCTACAATCTACAGATCTATGCTAAATAGACGCTGAGACAATGACGACTCATTATTTCGGGAAAATAGAACTTCTGCACGGTTGTGACATTCAAGGCAAACGGGCAGTATATTGTTTGATACAAGGTATTAACGATTCCGTGACACAGAATGGAGCCAGGACAGAAAGATATGAAACACCAGAAGCTTAGTGAGCCTTCTACGTCAGATCAATGCCAAAAAGGACGGTTAGGAAGCTACGAGCCTGCAGATCTAAGGAGCAACTTACAAAACAAGTCGAGAAACAAATGTTTTAACTGTGGTCAATGTGGCCATATAACCGTACAATAAATAAATGATCGCTATTTTCACGGATATGTTGACGCAGGTAATAGTGTCACAATTCGCGAGACGGACGTGGAAAAGTTGACGGTTACAATCTTACAGTAAATCTTCGTTTGAGTGGCTACGCCGGTGGCTCAGTTGCAATTACTTTACAAGATTTTTATACATCGAATGGCACATTTAGCTGTAGCACCTGTAGAAGGTTAGTACCCAAGCATGTACAACAAGTAGCGGTAATCATTGGGCCATCTTTTCTTAAGCAGCCTGATCTCGACATGGTAGTTAGTAGCATCTAAGTTAGGTTACATAATGTGGATAGGGCTCCCTAATGATGTACTTTTTCCATAAGATCATCCTATGGGCTAAAGAATCTACCGCTACCGTCGCGTTATGTAGGGCTTATGTCATTGTATTCCTCCGAGGATTGCGAAGACTAAGTAAAAAGTTATTACTAAAATATAGTAGTCAAGTTATCAAGAAATTCCTAGATCACGATCATTGTGTGATCGAAGATATTAAAGGGTCATTGTGGGCTCGCAAGAAATTCAAAGTAATCGTGTCTCGATAAATTTAAGACTAGAGTAGAATTTCAAGTTTTTGAGTCCGACGTGGACTCTGGTAAGAAATCAAATTTTTATCAGAATGGCAAAACAATTCAATGAAAAAAAAAAATTGCCTAAAAATTCAAAATAGTCTCAGTGTCACGTCAATCAATAATTGTGTAGAGAATTTTTTACTCTGCCTGGACGAAAGCGCTGACCTATCCGACATCGGCCATCTTGTAATTTTTCTTGGAACTATTCAAGAGGACTTAAGTGTGGCAGAGGAACCGCTTGATTTTATTTTATTCCTCTCCATGGTACAACCAAGGGTACGAATATTTATGATGCGATAAATAAGGAGGTATCAGACCATAGTCTGACCCCCATAGGGGATTCGATAAACGTACCTGTATTGTCACTTATGAAGCCAGAGCTAAAATAGGAACTGAAATTGGATTTGCAGAACAATATCAACAACTGTCCGGTGATATACGGCATTGTTCACTAAGGGGACCTATGTGGAAAGTCCTTACATCAAATGAACATCATGAAAGTGGTCGTTAAAATAACTAATGTTAAAAGAGGGCGCAATCGTGCTTTAATTCACAGAAAGTTTCGTGTTTTTTTTGGCCGAAGTAGATGCTATAGATATGGGGACTTGTTATTACTTCACACCGATATTTGTTCTAAAGATGTAAAGAGAGCACTTTGAAGAAATTAAGGATTTTGAGAAAGTTTCATATTTAACTCATTGACACAATCGCAGAAGAATTCGAAAACCGATTTAGCAATTTTAAGGAAATTGTAGGAGAAATTTCAGTTTTTACTCAGCCACTTACAATTTCTGTTGAGAAAACGTAAACAGAGCAGGACTGGACAGGATTGGACTTTTTTTAAGTTACTCCCAGGAGAATGTTACACTAACTTGCGAAACTTAAGCCTTATTTAATTTCCTTAACTTACCCTTTAAAATAAAAATTCCAATTAATAATAAACCTCGCCACAAGCTTTTAAGTCGCATAAGAACATGAACATACTGATTATAGATAGTAAGCGTGTATTTATCATACTTTTGCTGATGACACATCTATAGAGCAGCCATATCAACCCTTTTGTGGGTTTAGGGTTTAAACACAATATTATGGGTTTTATGAACTTGTTGGTTTATTTTTTCTTTTTATATAGTGCATTTTAATAAAAGCTTTTTTTTAATATTTTTGTTTACTTTTCATTTATACTCTTGCCTCTCCTCTACAGCACTGAATAAGGGGTATGTTAAGATTTATTAATGAATTTATTTTATCTTTTGCAGTCAGTTTAGTATGTAAATGTAAAATGGTAGATATGAAAATTTGATAAATCTTCAACTTGAAGACTGACGGTGCTATCTTGTGCATGTGTAACAGAATGTTAATTTTTTACAATAATTTTACAATTTTTTCTTCAAGCGAGTTTTGGGTAATGAAATAAATAAAATTAATGAAATAAATATAATTTTATAAACAATTGAATTTTGATGAATTTTTACTTAAGAGTAATAAGAGTATAATAATTAGAACTTGGTTCAATTAAGTACTGCCTATAGGTACTGGGACTATTAGTGATAATAAAGCAATCAATAATTGATTTCTAAAAGTACATAATATAATTTAAAGAATGCAACACATTTTCTTTGTGTGATGAAAATAATCAATTAAAAATGTTTTTTATTACGATAATTTTTTTTCCTGTTTCCCAGAATCTCATTTGTTTTTCCTTATACAAATTCCAAATTTCCTGTTCGAATTACAAATTTGGTAAGCAAAAATAAATTATAAACTAAGTATGTATGTATATAGGCTTTCCACTCATTAATATTTTCTGATCTGTCTAAAAAGGAAAACAAATTCGCAACGTAGTACAACTGTGTTAAAGGAAACAAAATGTTTACGTTCGTTAGCTACGTCAGTCATGAATTATAATTGATTAATTTTAATTGTGTTTAATATGAGCAACACCATTGTTTTAATTAAATAAAACGTATAATAATTAATGTCTCATATGAACCTAATTCGACTGAAATACAAATTCGTTTTACTTCCAAAAATATGTACTGTAATTCAAATAAGTTATCGTTCACTCAAGTAAGGACAAAGAAAATAACAATGAATAAGCAGCGGCAGCGGACGCAATAAAATAGATTTGCTTTGTTTGTCTCTCTCTACTCTGCCTCACCGATCGGCTCCCATTGCCGTCCGAATAAAGTAATATATAATTCATAATTAATTATTTTTTATTTAAAGTTTTTATGAGTACTTATAACTTTAAGTTCCTATCCTACGAAAATTAAAATTTAATTAATAATAACGAAGGTTAATGCAAGTTTAATATTTTATGTGATTATTAAACAAGATGATTGTGAATATAACCAAATAGCTATCTGTGTTTATTTTTGGTCGGACTAGCCGGCTGACCAGCTGGCCTCTCGAGGCCCACTCCAAGCAAAAATCCTATCTACGCCCATGATAAGAGGCCATGGTGAACAACAGCTCTCGAGCATTTATTTCTTTGTCAACATGTTTGTTTAAACATTAATAAATTAACTTTTTCTTATCTTTTCGAATTACCCATTGGCAATTTTACTCTCTGCACCACAATGAAAGTATAGGTATACTCCTCTTATGTACATATACATAGGTATACCTACTAGTAACTAGTAGGTAAGTTCACGAAAGGCAGTATCTTGGAATCTAATTTAGGCGCTTTGGGACAGGGATACCTATTTTTTAACAAGTGATTTATCTTTTATATCCATTTTGAGAAATTTGAATATACCTGTTAATACATACATACCTATATACATATTCATATTTTCCATTTTAATTGTTCTGTGCGTTAAAATATGTAGGTGTTTATAAATATGCCAATTTTTAAAAGATGTTATGAATCATCTAGGTATCATATTATGTGGTGAAAACGAGGAAATTAATACATTCTATGATAAAGAACGAATATAATTTGTTTTGCTCTAATTGAGTACCTATACAAAATTTTATCGTCATTTCCAAATAATGTTCGGGATATGAAGGCTATGTGGTTATTGATATTGATTATTAGTAGTTTGGCACTCAAAATATTTTATAAATTTACATTATTCGATTATATCTACTCTACAACCTTCCTGAACTGTCCCGGTCCGGGTTTGGGTAATGAATTTATAATTTTGAGTAACGAGGGTTGGTACAACGGCATAGACACAGAGGGCGTTTGTTTAGTTCCAGTTTTAGAAGGACTGGCATGGCGATGATCCAGTATGAGCTGCTAACAGAAGATAGTGTTCTTCTATTACAATATTCACAATTAAGTCATAGCGTGCAACGAGTTATTTTACTAGCTACTAACAGCACTAACATCATTGGGCTAGTATCGCCAATATCAAGTAAGCATCTTTAAGGAGGTTGTCATGCAGCGCCCCTAACGGGAAACGCTTTTACTTCGTAGATGAGAATAAGCCAGAACGGCTCGGTGTGGTGCGACGTGCGAGTTGAGTTTGAGCAGTTTGAGTGCGTGTAGTGTCTGGGTGCGTTATAGGGCGCCTAGCTACAGTTAATTTAGTTTTCGGGCGACCAATGTTAACCTGACCCCCCACAACTGTTCATCTAGACGGCCTGGATTGCAACAAGGGCTCGGGGGCGACCGCTACCGGAGCCGCAAACATATTGGACCAGGCAGAAAGTAAGTAATCCACCTTTTTTTTTTTCATGAATACCCTCCGATGTATCTCACTTCATCAGTCAGTTTACTATTATCAAATACATTTAAATCTGTTGTTGTTAATGAAAATAGGTCAAATCATATAGCGGCTTTAAAAGTGTCCATGGGATGGGCAGAGTCGGTTTCTTCGCCGTCCTACTCAAAAATACATACCATTGCCCGGCATTTCCCCTTCATACATTGAGGTCATTATCAATTTTCATTACCTATTAGTATTTTAATAAAGCATAGCAATTTGAAGTCTGAGGCAAGATATCTGTTAAAAATTCCTATATTAAATATGTAATTATACCTATCACAACCAATCGTTTAGGTGTGTTTTAAATCGAGTACATACCAAATTACCTAAACAATTATTCAGTGCTAAATGTATAAATTTAAACAGGGATTTATATATTTAGGTTTATTTCATTGTTGCCAACAATATTTCACTACATAAATTTAAGATGATATTCTAAAGCTTGTAGAATAACAAAACTCTGATATGTGCGAGAGTTGGTCATAGTGACGTCATTGTGTGCTAGCGGAGAGCACCAGTACAAACTAGTATCCCTTTAATGTTTGGACCTCTGAATATAAAAAAAAGGTTTAATAATACCTATACATTAGTAAGTAAGTAAGTAATAGTAATAATTATTAAACACACATTTTCTTTGTCGTTCTTTTCGCCACGTGGTAGTGCGTTTTATTAAATATACACTGAAAGTAGGTATGACTAGTTGACATCATCGGCGAGACTCTCCTTGCAACCAGCCTTCTCGTAGTTCCGCATACCTAATATCGTGGAGCGAACCTAGGATCGATCACGATTCAGCCACAATGTCTCGTTGGGCTTGTTGGTAGATGCAAACTCGACCCCACATTTGCATTAATATATATATCCACGAGGTCTGTTGCACGTAAAAATAACACATTGTACCTATCTACCCTGAAACATTTGTCTCTGTTACACATTAGAGCACAGGCAACATTAAATATCGCAGTAGCAAAAGGTTTAAGTATACACCTGACGGAAGAATTGTTTTTCTGCAGAAAGTGTAAACGGTGAAAGAGAATCACCCGACTTTTTAAAAAATGAATTTATATGTAGGTATTTCTATTCGTTTTCGCTACTATGAGTAAAATGTAACGCAGAAAATATGTATATAGTTTAGACAGAAAATTTAAGTCAATAAACTAATAATGGTGACTAATAGTTCCTTCATAACCTATATACCTATAAGTGACTTTATATTACAGGTATATACATAAGTTACTCTTATAGTTTTATAGATTGTGCTAAGTATAGGTAGGTATTACAGGATTCTAAAAATAAAGTTTTATTAACATAGTAGGTAGGTATATCTTTTGTTGTGCATATCCCTAGATGCGGCTGCTGTAATAATTTGTCATCTGTCAACTGCTAAATCCGTCAAATAACTAACAATGTGTTTTTCTGTTTAATATAAAACCGTTTAGGATTTTATACAACGCTAATTTTATAATGAAATTAATTTTAAGTAACTAACATATGTACAAGTACCTACACCTACTTACATAAACATTATCAAAGTAATAAATAGAATAAATTAAATGTACTGAATTGAGAACCAAAAATTGAACATTTTATTTATTTGTTTACATTATCTTTTGAATTTCTGCAAAAAACGATAGTTTTTTTTTTAAATTGAAGAGATCCTTTATCTTACAGGCACAATTATTAGGATTTAAATGCATCAATCGAACTCTTAAAATATTCAGTAACGTAGGGGAGTGCTTCCTAGTATCTCCATCACGTGCATTTTATGATATACACCATGTATAAAATGAAAATTATTTTTTGTGGACATAGCGCTGTTATTTCCATCTATAATTTTTTTATTTAATAAATGCTCGCTAAGTACTTCCACCTCTACGCCACTAGTGTTTTATTTATTTCGTAATTCCCCAGGTAATGTCACAAACTTGTTATTCTATGAATTTCAAAATGTCAAATAGTTAATAAATTTCAAATTTTGTTTTAAAAGTATACCTCATTCGGCACTCACTTACCAAAAACTTAATCAGAACATTTTAATCATTGTCAAGGTTTATTACGAACTTTTACCGTAGTATGCTTTGCAACATACCATTTAAAACCGCTCCCTTTACCAGATTTATTGGTCTTGAACATCGGAGAAATGTTATAGGTATCTATATTTCTAAATCAGTCGGTGGAAATTGCAAAATAATGGAGTATTCTGATCAATAACAACGGTAATCCGTACTTTTTTATTGATAGCACGACCTTTGCTTTTCTTGGGCTAGACTTACTAGGTCGACGCCACTTTATCGATTTTCTTTTGGATAGAGAATCCTGATATGTAGTCTCATCTCTCCTACATAATAAGAATATAATTTTGCAGTAATTTTATTTTCGTGTCTCTAAATTTGTCGGTTAGCTTGTTGAATATTTTTAAAACAAAATAAAACGTAATATTACCATATGAATAGGGCCTGCAAACGTTTAGTTACCAATGTAAAAGATATTAAAGAAGTTGAAAATTTTTCCATAACTTGCAGCATATTCGCATTACCAAACATCATGAATAAAGAGAAATAATCTCCTCGGTAAGGTAGGGCCGTAATCTGCCTGGCAAAATGTTTGCTGCTGATAGATTTAGATTTTAGTATAATTATTCGGGTGTTCTTTACAAGAACACCATTTGTCACTAAACTGGTTACAGGTATGGGCGTAACTTAAAAAAAAAATCACTGTAAATTTTATATTGATTTTTCATCTAGTCCGGTAATATTATAATAATTCCGTATTATCCTACATAATTCCATATTATCCTACTTAAGACGGATACGGATAACTCTGGTAATATCAATAGTACACAAAATGTGTTCAAGTATGACACATTAAATCACATTTTAAAGTTATTTTCGATTAAATAGGGTGTCCCCTTTCTTCTGGGCGTTATTAATTTTATTTTTTTTTCAATACACAGTTGTTCTAAACCGTTCCATACTAGGTAGGGATGTAGTTTAGATTACAGTTTGCTTTAGTACCTATTTTATTAAATCAAAATTGAAATGTAGGATTTGGTTGATTTATTACTGTTGTAATTTTATCGGGAATAAAGGGATTGAGGTGTGATAGTAATATTTTATCGATATACCTACGTTGTAAAACTTTACGTATGTACCAAATGATTATTTATACACGCAGAGAAAACGTTGTTTAATACAACAAAATATTATTTAAAACAAATAAAAAAAAGTGTCATATATCCACAATTAAATATGTAGTTAATTGAAATAAATATTTCCTTTGATCATTGACAAATTTATTTTATACCACAATATTATTATTTTAAATAAGAAAATATTAGGTTGTCTTGATATATGTACGCGATTTAAAAGAATTTGTCTTTTGTCGATTGAATTAAATTTATGATCAACTTAATATCATCATTTTGCAAATTAACAAAATATTTTGTTGTATTGACACACGCATGCGATTTAATTAATAGAAATTTAGTCCGACTCATTAAATATATTATCAATTTAACAGTATATTTTGTTGTATGGACACAGTCCTGTGTTTTAATTAATTGAATCTTTGTTTGTTTAATTAAATATATTGTCAATTTAGCACTATTATTTTGTTCCTCATAAATAATATTAATTTGAAATGTTTTTTTTATTGTTTTGTTTAAAACAAAATTAATGTAAAATTGAGTAAATATTTACTTAATTAGAACTTTACATTTATTGGCTTGAAGAATTATTTCATCAATTTAATAAATGTACTTATATACCTATTGTAATTTGTAACTTAAATTTCTTTAAATATTTTCTTTAAATACATAATATCAAAACATAATTTTTATATAAAGGCAGATACATAGTGATTTGGAAAGAATAGTTGGAATATTTAAATATTATGACATTAATTTGCTTCTGTATATCAAATATTTTATAGGTATTAAAAAAAATGGAAATCATCTGGGTTTAGGTATAAGGGTATAACTCAGAATATCTATTCTGAGCCGGGTATATAAATAAAATTATTAAATGAATGACAATGTATATATTTATTTTACAATACATAATGATAACGCCATGACATATTATTGGACATGTGAAAAGTGGTCTTAAATACCTAAATTTAAGAAAATTTCAACTACATATTTTATTTTGTTACTTCTAATCTGGCTATTTCTTAAATCGTTTCATAAATTAGTTGATTGAAACATGCGTTTGTTGAAGTAACTAAAGAATATGAACAAAAAAATATTAATTTAATTAACAAATCTATTTTTACCGTGTATAATACTTGGTTTTAAGAAATATTTATGGCATATAACTGGTCAGTTTTAGATTTTTGGTGATATGTCGACGCCATCGTAGTTAATGCGTGGGCTCTAAAATTTATATCAGAATATCCTTTTTTCTAATATAATCTCATCTATCCCGGAAATAAAAAACCTTATGTACATATTTTCAATACGTTTTTCGTCAATAACGACTTACGAGGAGTATATATGTATTTGTATGCGCACTAAGGCCACGTTTATATGGCAAGCGTTTTACTTTGAGCGGAGCTAGTAGGTGCTCGCTTGTCCTATTCCCTATTCTAATAGTCTGTCCAATGTACTTTGAACTCAATGAGCATTTTATGCTAGGCCATAGATACTCCTCTCTCTTATCGAGTTATTTAAGTAGTAGAGGAGTTGTCCTGGAATTGTAAAGTTTCACAAAGTTATTTTTTAGATCTTAATTTGCATTTGCAAAATTTATAGTGCCTTACTGCTTTTCAGGGTCATGACTTGTATATAACAATTTTATAAAATTGAGTACAGTTTTGGGAAAAACTGTAAATTATTTCTTAGTGCAGGGAATCTCTTGCAATGTGAACGTCGCCTATACTCGTATAAATCGATTTTGCTCATAAATACAATTGGCCTTGGCTTTGTCACATATTACTTTTTATA